TTTTTTTTGGAATATTTATTTATATCATCTAGAGATGCCAAAACCGTAAAAAAATTCTAGACCTGATATACACTTTAAGTTCTCTCTCAGCTGTTCTGAGGCCAGAGAGTGTGCTTATAAATGTACCATACTAGTATTTGGCCCAAATGATTCAAATGTACTGATATTATATGGTTTTACAGTTTCCAAAGTTTGCAGAAATTGTTACCCTCACTCTTAATGATGGTTCAAAGAGAAGTGGTCAGGTCTTGGAAGTCAGTGGTTCTAAAGCAGTTGTCCAGGTAATATGATTAACATTGCTCTCGAAACATTCTATAGGTTTATCTAGCCTATTCATAGTTACGTATGGTGATCAAGGGTGAAGTAGCAGGAGTGCACTGATTTCTCACTCCTTGGGTTCAATTTCTGGACTAAGTATTGCTTTTGAGTAGGATTGTTGTGTCTCTCATTTGAATCAATCATTTTCCTTCAGGTTATCCAAATTTCCCAGTATTATAAAAATTGCTCGCATTGAGCAGAGTTTGTTTGGGTCTATGCCTTGCTTTGAGAATTTTTCTCTAGTTTAATTCTCAGGTTTTCCTCTCTGCTCAAAATCCAGCATGCTAAATTCCAATTCAGTCTATGAGTTAGTTGCCCTAACATATATATATATATCAGCCTAGAAGTTGTTTCAGGATTCAATCTGTGAGGTAGCCATGCCCTGACTTAGATCATCCCAGAGGTTATTTCAGGGTTCGATATGTGAGTTAGCCATGCCCTGACTAAGATCAGCCCAAAGAATGTTTCAGAGATTGATTTGTGACTAAGCTATACCCTATCAAGCACAGGAGGTACTAATTTTTTTACTGTGTTGACCACCAGGTATTTGAAGGAACATCTGGTATTGATGCTAAGAACACAACTTGTGAATTCACTGGTGATATTCTTAGGACCCCAGTGTCTGAAGACATGTTAGGTATGCATGATTCTCTTGGTCCCTCCCATTTTATATTTTCATTATATCCTTGCTTTTGGGGGGCTTGAAAAACTCCAATATCAACAACCTCTCTACTTTCATCAGTTCTTATGGTTTGCAAATGAAAGGAAAATGTGGGAACCTGCAATGAGCGAATTTGGTAGCAAGTTTTATGATGAAAACGTATGTAATACTTTCTTCTCTCAATCATGTTATAGGCAGGGTATTTAATGGTTCTGGTAAAGCTATTGACAAAGGACCAGCGGTCTTAGCTGAAGACTATCTAGATATCCAAGGTAATTTTAAAAAGCTAAAGAATCCATTGATCAATTGAGTGCTTTGTCATTCATGTTGTATCAGTAGGATAGCTACATGCCTTCCCATTAGGAAATACATAAGACATGGCATTTATATATAACAAAACAAACTGAAACCAGGTCTCTTGTTAAAATCAACCAACATAGCAGCTAGTCACAGGCACCCAAAGAATAACTGTGTACTCCCAGAGAATAGTTATCCTTCTTTCACAGTAGGTTAGAGCTTTCAAGGTTTGAAGCAAGTGTAAAGAGGGCATGTTTTTAATTATTTAAATGCAGATTTGAGACATTAAAAAATCCATATATTAGATATCATGTCACTGTGTTTTCTTGCTTGTAGGTCAACCCATTAACCCATGGTCTAGAATTTACCCAGAAGAAATGATCCAAACAGGAATATCAGCTATTGATACCATGAACAGGTTTGTGGAGTGCTGAAGTTAATAATGTCTGTAGGAAGAATTTGCGCACTTGTTATTCTGGTTGGGATTGTTTTGGACAAGGGACATCATTTGTGACTAGTACTTGGTATTTTATTATGACACAGTATATCCTTTTTTACCTCCTAGCATTGCTCGTGGTCAGAAAATTCCAATCTTTTCAGCAGCAGGTCTACCACATAACGAGGTAGGTTCTTTCTTTCCCACTTTTTTTGTCACTTCCTTTCTTTCAATATTCCTTTTCATTTTATGCATGAAAGCTACAGTTTTTGCCTTGTTGATGTTAATCTTCTTTGTACCATTAGATTGCTGCTCAGATTTGCCGTCAAGCTGGACTCGTAAAGTTTAAGAAAGGAGTCCTTGATGATCATGAAGATAATTTTGCTATTGTCTTTGCTGCTATGGGCGTAAGTACTGTAATTCTGAGTCTATCAACGATATTCCAGGATAATGGAGTTGAGATTTGATTTGAACCCAGGTTGAACATCTTGTTAAGATCATTGGTGATCTTGCCTGATATGGAAAGATCTTGCAAAATCTTGCAGGATCTTGCTGCCATTGAATATTCTAATGTTTTGTTCTTGCTTATTGCTGTTTAAAACTAATTCAAGCCTCACCATGGTCTCTTATCCTCCATTGAAAATGTCCTGAAGGTTGACAATAGGACTGAACCTCACACTATAGACCAGTTTTAAATCATTATAATAACTTCTCTACATCATTAGGCCAACATGGAAACTGCTCGATTCTTCAAGCAAGATTTTGAAGAAAATGGCTCAATGGAAAATGTGTGTCTTTTCTTGAATCTTGCTAATGATCCAACGTAAGTCTTCAGTAAAATATTGATTTATAGTATCAAGGAAGCTTAGGAATGTGGCTGTCAGGGGTTTGTTACCACTATATCTACAGTGTACATCTAGGTTCTGCAGTGATGCTGTTATATGAGGCATTTTGTTCTCTCACCAGTGCAAGGCCTGTGACAAGGGGCCATTATTTGATGTGTTGTACACTCACAATAGTTTTGTCAATAATTGCTTTCAGAATTGAACGTATTATTACCCCTCGTCTGGCACTAACAACAGCAGAGTTCATGGCATATCAGTGTGAAAAACATGTGTTAGTTATACTGACGGACATGAGTTCATACGCAGAAGCTTTGAGAGAGGTAGGAAACATTGTGCAACTGTGCATCCATCTTTTACAAAATAACATTTCTTTCATCCATATTTTCTATTTTTCTTCCACTTCTCTTCTATATTTAACTTTTCTTTTAGTCACTCTTTTCTTCTATCTCATTCTTTTCTTCATACTACCAGTTCTACTTTCTTTAACTGTTTTTTCCATTTCACTTTCATTTTTCAACTTTTTCCATTTAGTATGCCAATACAATACATCTCTGAATACATTAAAAAATATTAAAACTGGTTATAATGCTGTAGGTGTCTGCGGCTCGTGAGGAGGTACCTGGTCGTCGTGGTTTCCCAGGTTACATGTACACTGATTTGGCTACAATATATGAGGTATAATTTAATGGATATTATTTTATCAAATATTATAAATTTATATTATAAATTTTATTCCTAATGCTGATCTCATTTCTTAAGAAATTGTCAAAAAATTTGCACTTCTATTTTTGGATTTATTCCAACATTCATCATTCCCATCCTACTTAACTGGACTTGTGATCCCTTTGTTATTCTATAGAGAGCTGGCCGTGTGGAGGGCCGTAATGGTTCCATCACTCAAATTCCTATTTTAACTATGCCTAACGATGGTAAGCAAATGAATTAATAGATAATCTGGAAATAGATAAAGTGGAACAGCCTTCCTATAACTGTAAAAAGACTTGAAGTATTTACATAACAAATTTTGGGATAAATCTTTGATTAYTTGGGATAAGGTACAAAATTGCATCGAGTCCCCCTCCCCCCTTCCTCAAAGTGCCACCATGCAGGCTAATCAAAAATCACAAATTAGTGTCTAGGGTGCATGCACTTTGCTGCTGAGCTGATGATAACAAAGCCTTAGACCAGAGCCTAGAAGTAAGCCCTTGGAAGACCAAGTGTGTGCTTTGAGAGTCTAGTTTGATTTTATTGAGGCTGTTATTTTTTCCTTTTACATGTAAATTAGATATCACTCATCCCATTCCTGATCTGACTGGATATATCACTGAAGGTCAAGTGTATGTCGACAGACAGTTACACAATCGACAGGTAGGAAACTTCTTCATTTGGGGAAACATTCTACAGTATCAAAGGCTTTCAACTGTATATTGTGTCAACCTAATGAAATTTGATTTTTTWAAATTTATCTCATAATACAATCAAATATCTGCTTCTTTAACCTATATTAACCATATATTAACCATATTTTGTGTACCTTGCATCAAGTGGTAAGGTTTTTTATGTTTTTATGATTGTTCTTATTTCCTAAGGTCTATCCCCCAATCAATGTACTACCATCATTGTCAAGATTAATGAAGTCTGCTATTGGTGAAGGAATGACCAGAAAGGACCATTCTGATGTTTCAAATCAATTGGTAGGAAAACCAAATAGAAAGTGTAATACCATAATGATCGTGTGTCAACTGGAAAAGATGAAATGAAGAGAAAATTTATTTGTGTAGAATCACACTTGAGGGTTTCATCTGAGGATCGTTAATCTTGTGATTTTTTTTGTAAAAAAATTGAACAACATTGCAGTAATGTTGTACAAAGAACATTTTACAGCTAAAGGTTTGACCATTCACAGATATAGTTTTAGTGAAATGAAGCATCCTGAACTTAAATTATTAATTCTGACATGGATCTGAATAAACCAAAGCAACTAAATCAGGGCTGTAACCAGGGGGGAGCACAGGGTGCATGTGCAGCCCTGCCCCCCCCCCCCCCCCCCCCCCCCCCAGTAAAAGCTTAAGGTCTGCTTATCCATCTCTTTTTTTTTGGTTCTGCCTTCTTTTGGTTACCTTTTTTTTTCTTTTTGGTTCTGAAAATTATTGCCTGTGCACCTCCCTGCAAGATCCCTAGTTACGCCACCGAGTTGGTAATAAAAAAAACGATCAATGGTCCAATTTTATTCGATGTGCACCCTCCCTGTAAAAGTTCTGGTTACAGCCCTGTAAATCTATATTATTTGATGTTTTTAAAAGAAAAATAATACTGAGAAGTATGAGTGTTGATGGGAATGTTATTGCTTTGTTTTGTAGTATGCCAACTATGCCATTGGCAAAGATGTGCAAGCGATGAAGGCTGTGGTAGGAGAGGAGGCCCTGACCTCCGAGGACTTGCTCTATTTGGAGTTCCTTGGAAAGTTTGAGAAGAATTTCATATCTCAAGGTGTGTGGGTTACATAATTTGTCATTTATTTTTATTCTCATTTTTGTATGTTTGTTGTTGTTAAAATAAGGATTTCCCATTCCCATTTTATATTTCACCATTTCACTTAGCCTATTTTATTATATGATTTCATTTTCTTTCAGGCTTTCTCATTTTCTTGCTTTCATTTTGCAATTGCATATATTTCCATTCCTTTCTTTCATGATCACTTGGAATTATTGTCTGCACTTTTGTATTTTCCATTTGCACTTTGATTTCCCATTTTTAGTATTTCATATTTTCACTAAGCATACATGAACCAAGATGGCACTAGTACAARTAAATTCATTAGTTGTTTTTATCATTCCAGGGACTTATGAAAACAGGACAGTCTTTGAATCACTGGATATTGGGTGGTCACTACTACGAATCTTCCCTAAAGAGATGCTTAAGAGAATCCCACAAAGCACCTTAGCTGAGTTCTATCCAAGAGACTCTAAACACTAATAATTAATAATCAAATTCTACTTTAACGCGCTAGCTTATAACCCAGGGTACCCTTGCATTACTCAATAGCATTACTACATGTACCTTTAGTACTGGTAAAATTGTTTATATAATTTCCTTATTACCATTCCTAACAACAGAATATCATTAGTGCCAAGTTAATGAAACATTGAACCATTTCAAAATTATTTTTGTTACAAAACTAGCAGGAAAATACAAAAGAAATGGTACACATTCCACTGAGAAAAAGTGTTATTTCTTTTCTTATTTTCCTGTAATCTTGCTTTTTGAATGAGTTTTTATGACAAAAAGTTTCACTCGTCTTTTTCATTTCATCATCCAAAATAGCAGCTGTGGAAGCAATTGTACTCATAAATATTCTACTTTCAGGTTTGCTTAATAATTTACTAAGGATGATGTAAGGTTTGGATTTCAGATGTTTGAGTGCATGCCCTTCATTACGATTTCTAGAGATTAACACAGCATAATCTACAAAACTTATAGGGGGAAAATACATAGGATACAAATAGTGACACTGAATATTAAAATTTCAATTTTGATGTGTTCCATTGTTCTAATTGAAAATTTGGAGGTATAATATGATATTTTGTGAATGTATAGATAAATGTCATTACATTTTTCTGTGAATTTTAAATACCTTGAGAAAAATGTTACTACTATGAATCAAAAATAAAGTTCAAAATCAAAAGACTTAATATATCTTTCAATTGCTTTTTAGCTTCACCTGTGCTGGGATTCCCTCCCTCCACATAAACCATCAACACTTCTCTAAAAAGAAGTGCACTTTTAATTCTGTTTGGTACCTTTTTGGACTAATGTTTTAAACTCATTCACTCAGGGTTAGCCTTATTTCAGCGTCAAATATTTACAAAGACCAACCATAAAGAAAGGTAAAGAATGCACAACTTCAACAATACAATTTCAAATTCCATGGACCTTCATTGAAGGACATGAATATTCTACACAATATTTAGAATAGGGAATGCAAAATTGCAGTGTTAATTTCTCAAAATGATTAAGTTCTAGCTTACAAAGTTCTGCAGATCAAAGGAAAACTATCCATACCTTGAAATACATTATTTTATTGAGCCAATAATATACAACCAGTCATCCCAATGACCTAGTTCCAATTATAAAATGTTCAAATATATATACCTAAGGGATTATCTTAGAGTATGTTCAAATTATTACGTATGTGGGTATTTTTTGAGCCAGAAAATCATTTCTGCTTCTCCATTCACCTGTAACGGTTTGGGCATGATTAAAATAAATTGAAAACTATTGCCCTTCTTAATGATATTATAATATTATCTTTTTCCTGTACCTTCCATTCCTTTTGTTGCTTTGAATGATTTAAATATAGCATCATGGTCAGGTCCCTTGGTATCAGATTTACATGGGTATTTCCCCAGCCATGAAGCACCTTGTTTCTTCATCTTCATTCTTTTTGCTGCCTGGCAAATACCGATTTTAAAGGTGGTATCACAAAGGGCTGAGCTTCTTGTTAACCTTGGTATCTGGTTCACATGGATATTGCCCAAGCCATAATATCATCTTTTTTCTTTATCTTCATTCCTCATGTCGCTTTGCGAATAACTTATGATAAAATCCTAGATGGCACAAAGAGGTATTGCCTATGTTGCCAGCTTCTCATGTTGAAGTTTCGTACTACCTACTAGTTTAACCTACCATACTCTTATGGGTTGTACAAACCTAACCATCAGTTAAGTCTAACAAACTTTTTTCTCTTACTTCATCCCTGCAAGTAATTCAAAAAAAAATTCAAAGCATTTTTTTACCAAGTTTTGCCTTGGGCAAGAGAATTTTGTGACCTCGTTATATAGGGAAATTAGAACTTAAGGTACATCACAGGATAATGTATACTGTAAACCTCAAATACCCATTTCATCATATTTTCACATTATTTTATATCTGAAGATTCAACCATTTGAGAGTTAGAATGATTTTTCTCCATCTCATCTGCTGGATGTGAAATCTTGTTTGTGTCTTCTTGGTTCTTCCAGTCTGGAGAAACTTCTTCGTTTTCATGTTCATCATGATTTTTAACATGATATGTGCTTTCATTAAGCTCATTAATATCTTTCTCATCACTGGAATCATATTCCATTGATTCAAGATTATTGTTCAATACATTTCCATCTACACTGAGTGAAGATTTCTTAGTAGAATTGTCTAAAGAACCAGTATTACTTACTGGAAGAGATCCTTCTTTCAAGCTGGAATCTAGTGCCAGATGGGAATCCCTTTTTGGAAGGGAATCTTCTTTTGAGCTGGAAATTCCATTGATAGATGTCTCCTCTTCTAGTTGGGGAGATTCGGTTACATCAGAATCTTCTCTTATTTCAGAAACTTCAGCTACATAGGAATCCCCTTTTAACAGGAAATCTTCAGTTCCATGGGAATCCCCTTTTGTAGGGGAATCTTCAGTTACAATAGAATCTCCTCTTATTTGAAACTCTTCTGTTCCATTATATACCCCTTGTATTTGGGAATCCCCTTTTGTAGGGGAATCTCCATTTGCAGAGTCCTGTATTAAAGAGAAATCCCCCTTTGTCTGGTAATCCCCATTAATGGACCTTTGATCTTCTGGTTTTGGTTGACCATAGCAAAAGTCTTCGTCATCCAAAGACTCCCTTTCCTCAAAGTGTTCTAAATCTTCATCCTYTACTGATACTGAAGCTGGTGAACTTACATCCACAAGCTCATCTTGATCTTCATCAAAACGCCCACCTCCTGCAAAAAACACAGAGTCCATGTTCTCAAGATCTGGACTAGATTCTGCAGAAGGGCTTTCCGCTTCGCCATTGAGACCTGTTGCAGTATTTTCAGCTTCTGTCATTGAAGAATGAGGAGATCTTTTTAGTTTTTCCAGGTGTAAGTTTGCCATCTCTTCTGATCCATAGCCACGGTGACCTAAACAAAACAAAAGATCATCTTCTCAAAAACAGATATAAAGATCTAGTGATAGGATTATTCATAAATAAAGAGGGGGATGACCGTAATGAATTCGATTTACATACCCTCTAGAGACCAGAGACCAGACACTTCTAGAGTCTTTAGTTTGTTTTCCAGTTCAGTTACACGGTGTCCCAGAATTCTGGGGAAAAACAGAGAATAGAATATAATCACTCCATAACATTACCTACTTGCTGGTTCTACTTATTAGCTGATCACAACTATTGTACAATCCAAGGGCATGAGATTCTCTTGTACCACTACACAGGCTTAAGGATAAACTTTCGAAAGCTCAAAAAAAAAAGGGTTTAAAAAAGCATTTTTCACGTAGAAAGGAGTATGTTATTCAGAAGGAATAGAAGAATAGAATGAGAAATAAATGGGAATGAAAGGAAAATGAAATAAGAATGTTGTTATTGTATCTTACCTATTGGTATTTCTTTGATGAAGCAAAGCAATATCTTTCTCAGAAAGGCTTTCTGATAAAGAATTGGCAAGGGACTGGAGATCATTGACTGTCGAAGATGACACACCTCCAAAACTACTGGAAATCTCAGAAATAAGGGACGGCAATGCTACCAAAACAAAGAAAAAAAATCTTCAGTGACAATTAATATCTAGTTTATATTAAGTCAAGGCTAGCTTTTTCTGAGTCATTAAAAAAAAAAATTACAAAGTGGGTGCAAATTGAGAGTAACGATCTCTGTCCACACCCAAAATAGACCTAATTCGTCTTGGTGCGATGTTTACCCATTTCCTGACAACATGTCATTCCCTAAAGAATAAGATTCATGATTTGTATCCATATTCATGTGTCTTCTTATGCGTAACTGTTAAACAAAGAAATAATACTCTAGAGAATGACACATGGTCTGAAATGGGAAAACAAAGCATTATGACAAATTAGGTGTATTGTTTTAATGTAGTGCCCTGGTGAGATGTATTATATCTTCTGGTTACTTACCTTGTTTAACACCATGACCCATAAATGCACTTGAATGGTGATTATAACCAGCTTTAATGAGCCTTGCATTCTTTTTCTCCATAGCAGCCTAAATAAGGTATCAATAACACAATCCAATACTCAAAAAAATTTTTAATTGGTGTATTTGGTAAATTAATAGAGAAACTATGTATCAATTTTTCTACAAAAAGTTCATCTAAATTTTTCTAAGAAAAATTCAGAGCTCAAGGCATTTACAACTCAACAATTTATTCTGATTGGTTGATAAAAGACAGCTATTTCCCGCTAAAAATGTTGCAATGGTTGTTTACCTTTTGTCTCGCTTGAGATGCGCTAGCCATCCTGAGTTCTTCCTTTAGCTGTTTTATCTGCTCTTTTTGGTATCTGAGAAAAGTTGCAAAACAACTCTCTTGTCACATGACACAGAATCCTTTATATACAACTGCAAGATACACACGGCAATATGGACCCCGGACTATGGAATCCCCATGGTAACATACCTGTTCTCCATAAGAATGGCATCAATATCTACAAGTCTCCTGTCATCTGCTCCGAGGATGAAGTTGAGCTGTGTATTCAGTCTTTCAACTTTTTCTCTATAGTGCTCCCTCTAAGATATAAATAAATCCAAAAATTGATACACTTTGTTGGTGGCTGTCTACTCAATAAGGGACCTGATGAATATTAGATAATAACTTTTTTATTGGGTTGTTTACTTTTGTTTGTTCGTAATTTTTTTTCAAATTTTTTAAAAATTCATTTTTATTACAAAATTTAATGTAAATTTGAGAAAATATCTGATATCTGGCTCCTCTTGAGATCAGATTAATGCATGTTACCCTATACTTTTAATATTAAAGTATTAGTAAGAAAGAACATCAATGAAAACATTCCACACCTCAATTGCTATTTCATTCTTTTCATCTGTTATTGCTTTGACTTCTCTATCTAGTTCATCTACCTGAAAATTTCACAAACTTCTCTTTTAATCCTATAGCATTAAATTATATATTGCTAAACATAAGATGAATAACCCATTGAGTGCATAACATATATCCGAGAAAACGTTAGCAAAATTGTACAAAGATTAGTAAGTCTATGGTCTAGCTACTGAGGTATATTAAACTTACTATAATTTGTTCAAATTTGTGCAATTTTTTTACAAATCTTTTCACAGATATATGGCATGCACTTTAGTGGGACATATAGACAGACAACTTAGAATTAAATATTTGAATTATCTATAGGTTTCACTAGTGACATAACATATTTTAGCATATTGTCATATGTACAAAAGCACAGATATTTTTCTTGGTTAGTTAACCCAGCCTTTACAATATTTGGGAAGAATACTGTAAAACATTCAGTTAACCTTAGAGTACATATCTGCACTTGTATGTGTTGTTATGTCAAAACCAGGCTTTATCCTTTTAAAATATATAGTATGAGTGATAACACAGTTTTAGTACAATGTACCTTTTCCCGGTTTTTCTCCAGGCACTGTATGAGGTCTTGTCTGGCCTCCAGGTCTTCCATCTTTCCTGTATCTTTCTCAATAGCTTTCTGTCTTGCTACATTTTCTCTCAGGAGAATAATATCCTCCTGAGCCTCTCTGTACAACACCCGCAGGTCCATGAAATCATTCTTCAAGGCTTTGTTCTCCTCTCGTGCTTCACAAAGAAGCTGGGACAGGGTCTGTTAATCAAAATACATAAATCTTGAGTATTTTGCTCTATTAAACTAAGAATAAAACTTCATTGATTCTTATAGATGCATTGCATTAATACTTAATCTGGGGGTCAAAACAAAAGAATTTCCTTCTCTTGAGGAATGAAATACTAAGTCTACACCACAAACTCCTCCATAACTGGACAGCTACCCAACATTCATTTAACCCCATTCATTCATGACTCCCTTTCAGTGTGACCCGCTAACATATTCGTTGGTTATTGACACTTCAGACATTTACCAATTAATATTGGGTAAAATGATCAACAGTGAGTACATCAATGCTCTTGAAAATGTCAATGCTTGAACAGACCTACAGTGTATGGTTATTTTTACCTTGTTCTTTCTTTCCCTCACACTTTGTAGCTCTTGCTCCCAGATACTGTGGCCTGAAAGCTTCCTTTCTCTCTGAAAATGCAACAATATGAGTCATCAATTAATGACAATCTTCATCATTAATGCAAAGGTACTATTCCCTTTGCTTATAAAACTAGGCAACTTTTGCTTGTTTTTTTTTTAATTTTAATTTTTAATTTAAGGAAATTTATGTTGCACAAACCACCCAAGTGTAACCCACTTCTCTTTGTAGATTAGAATACTTTGATGTACCAAATCCACTGGGTTATGTTTTTCCTTTTCAGATCAAGTGCTGTCCCCTTGAGAATAAGATTTTTGGATTGAGCTGTATCCATATTCATGTTTTCTCTCATGCACAACTAGTAAAATACACTCTAGATAATGACTTGTGGTCTGAAGTGGATTTGGTTTGTTTCATTCTTCATCTCCAGTCCTTTACCTTGAACTTAACATGTTCTGGTGATCTGGAAGGCTGTCCAGTAGGTGACTTAACTCCTCTTATTTCTTTACTTTCTTGCTCTCTTTCCTTCTTTCTGAAGTTGTCTAAATCTTGTTGCTGGAAAAAGAGAGAAGACTATTTCCATGAGGGGTGCTTGTTCAACAATTACATATTTGATCCTAAGTCTATGAGTCTGGGTGTGTTAATGTAAATAAATATAACCCCTACAGTACATCGGGGTCCTTTGGAGGCAATGCAATTTTACTAATGTTCTGATACCATCTCTACTGACATTGATTTTGGGGCTAAATTCTTTATTATTACCACCTATAATATATTATGACTCTAGTAATCAGAAAGTGAGAGTCATTCTTTTAACAAAGATTGTCAATCCAATGGCATTCACTCTTAAAAACTTTCAAAATTAATATCAATAGTAATAAGTTAAATGCACAGCCACTACTTTTCTTGTTACCATGGATTTTAGCATAATATTGGGTAATTTTTCTCAAAAATCAGAAAGCAAGCTCCATTTATTGGCAGCCTGTTTGTACTAATTGTGAGCATCTCTTATTACTTTATTTCTTACCATTTGCTTGATTTTATTCTTGTAGATGTCCCGTTCTCTCTGGCAAGATTCTAAATCACCCATCAAGATCTTCAGGCCTTGTCGTTTGCTTTCCAACTTCTTTTTACAGATGTTGTACTACCAATAATTGAAGACATGAATTCTCATTTACTTATAAGTTGTGGCAATTCTTCTCCCTCTAATGAAACACAGTCTCAAATAATTTCCAAACGTCAAATACAATTTTTTTCCGGTCTAAGTCAGAGCATGACTCCAGGGGGAGGGGGAGGGGGGACACCTATTGTATGAGGATTGAAGAAAGATTGAATTGGACTATGAACTAAAGTTTAAAGAAAATGTGATTTCGAATCAAATCTTATAATTGATAATAAGATGTGAAAATAATCACACAGCTATAAATCCTTAATTTATCGAATCTTGAAATGCTTATTGAATCGGATTGTACAAAACAATATGCAAATGATTTATTTGTACAACTTGAGAATAAACATTCTTTCGCGACGTTGTGTTCTCCTAGCTGCTTGTTGCTTTGATTTAACGAAATAAAACTAAACAATATCTCAAAATCAAAATAAATCCCTAAATTTAGCGATTAGACGTAGCAATTTAAAAAATACTTCAAAGAAAGATCATATCTTTAATTTATAAAATAACCTCTCTGTATTTGGCCACGTAGAAAATTCCTAATTTTTGCGCATATTTTCCTAAAAGAGCGGCGACGCGTAAAAATTAAATTCTGTCCTTGTTATACAATCTGACCAAAAGAAATGAAAAACAACTATATCATTTTTGGTTTTTATTTATCTTTTTTAGTTTTTAGACATAAAAACAAACATATTGACTACAAGATTATTTTCAGACTGTGCCGAAAGTAAAGAGTGTCCTCGGAATTGAGTCAAAAAAACAAGTGAATTCACTCAGAAAAAAATAATTTCTTAGCGTTCTTACCTCGCTTACTAACAAAGCCCACTCTCTTTCTCCTCTTGCTAGAGTCATTTTGAAGAGTCTGAGTTAGACAAGCCGGTTTTTTGAGCAGGAAGACGAGTGTTGGTCGAAGAAATCACCAACACAAGACGCCATCATGTATGTTTGATATGGATGACCGGGAAAAGATCAGGGAAACTGGGGCTTATTGCCTCGTCTTGGTGGGAGGCCTAGGAGCGAGTTCTTTCTTTCTTTCTTTCTTTCTTTCTTCCTTCCTTTCTTCCTTCCTTTCTTTTCTTCTTTCTTTCTTTCATATTTTGATTAACATAATATCGACCGTATATCTTTTTTTATTTTGCCTAGTACATTTTAACTGTTCTCTTTTTACACATTCTTTCCATCCCTCTCCCCTCAGTGGGAATTTTTTATCACACAGGAAACACGACCCTAAATTTTGCCGCACTTATGTCATCAATCAATTCTGACGGACTAGATGCTGTTTTGTGTTATTCTTGTAACTGTGTTATTGTCCAGGTGGTCCTTAACAGTGTGTGGTAAAGCTTTCTTTAATTTCCTGGACTTTCTTAATACAATTTTACAGCCCGCTTTCTCTTATTGTCATATTTATATTTAATTCGTGGTTTTTAAAAGAATATTAGATTACTTGTTGCTTGTAATGTTAATAAAAGGCCGAGAACACAAATAATAAAGTAGCTTTTTAACTAATCGATTTAAGTGGAGGTTTTTCAATAGCTGTCATGTTAAACTGTCATATAAACCTATAAGTATTGATTTAAGCCAATAGCACGTAGCTAAACGCGGCATCACCTCCGTCCCATCGTGTGATTGAGACTATTCATTTACATGAACGTTTCCCCAGTGTGGCTCTCGTGTTGGTAACTGCTACAGGAGAAGAAATATTTTACTCTTAGTCCGAGTTCCGCTTTCAGCAGTGAAAATATATTCTAAGTTTATTGAAGTTTATAGCCATCCGCGAGGAATTTCTTTGTGTTTCTTCCTTTTTTTGCTCGGAAATAACCTTTGGAAGGAACAAAGACGTATGCACAAAAAGATGAACAACGACATAGGTTCAAAGTCGCAGGGAGTGAATGAAGGTGAGAAAGAAAACAGCAGTTTACTTCTTTTAGTATACTTAGCTGATACCCAAAGGTTATTATTTCAACGAAGTTTTTCTGGGTAGCTTCTGGAGATGGAGAGACTTTTTGACGATTGAGTCATGTAAAGTCGAGATTAAGTAAAAATACGAATCCTTAGTCTACGGTAACCGGCCTCAACTGATCTGAACTGAAATTCAACTTTTAAATACGGCGAGGGTCAATGGTCTGTTCCTGCGATTATCATTGGCTTAAGATAAAATGTGATTTAATGATTCATTGTTGTTTAAGCGTATAATAAGATGGATTTTGGATTACTATGACAAGTAAACGTAACGAAGTTAACTATACTTCAATGAGAAAGTACCGGGGATTCATTAGTAATGGCAACCGGAAAATTCTCACAGGAAATATTTTATACTAGAAACACGGTGCGAAAAATTCTCGGACAAAAAATAGCTAGCTACAACATACTGCGAAAAAAAACGTCGAAAGATCATTTGCATTAAAGAGTCCCTTCCTAAAGTTTCAAAGTGCGGTAAATGCGACATCTTGCTGAGTATAAAATGCGCATTCAAGTAAAGGTGTTAAAAGTTGCGATTAGAGATGCCGCCGTACAGCGTCAATGGAGAAACAACAGTGCTTGTTTATTTTGTAATTTGGGAACCAGAAAAGGCGGGACTTTAGTGTGCGCTTGTGACTGTAAAGATATTTGCGCTTTGCGCACACTCCGGATAGTAAACATGAGAACACGTTTTGAGAACTACATGTAAAATTTTAATCTTCTTTCGGTTGATGAAGCATGAGGTTATTTTCCGCAATTACTTACAGTTTAATAAAACACATTGATAACTGGCATTCTTAGTGATTAATGATGCCCTCTTTTTCAAAATCCCACAAGATCCGCCTCTTAATATGTTTATTAATATGCGCTTGTGGTTTCGGTAGGTTTGAAGGTAGAAGATTCACAGGACGCGGAAATAAAGGCATCGATATGTCGTAAAGGATATCGCCGCAAAAGAACAGCCTTTACACAGGAGCAACTCACTCGACTTGAGGAAGAATTCGCAGTCAATAAGTATCCAGGAATTGAACTGCGCGATAACTTGGCACATGAGCTGAATGTGAGCGAGGGACGAATACAGGTAAACAAACTAATCAGCACACAGCCAACTGAATTGACAAACACAAACTCAGACCGCGACTTAGACTATCAACTAGTTGTCTGGGTCGTCATGGTAATTATGAAATATTTCGACCAACACGGTGCTCTCACCAGTTGCTCTTATTACCGTTATATGTCGAGGATAAAATCTAATGATTTTTGAACTTTTCAGGTTTGGTTTCAGAATCGAAGGTCAAAATGGCGCAGGCGCCAGAACAACGTAAAACCACAAATCCCCAACCAAGTCTCCGCAGAACCCAAGAACACTTTCCTAGGCAACCCAACTTGGCCTTGCACTTCCTTATATGTAAAGGAACCCCTACCCAAACCTGTGCCATCTCATTGGTTACTACCAAATGACGTCATCACGTCATGTGAGGAAACCACTTGTGCTTCTTCGGCTTCGGATGTTCCTGCGGATATTCGAAGCCTGCTAAAAATAAGACGCGAAGGTCATTCACAACAATTGGTCGCTTGCGTTTCTTCTATCATGTCAAAGGCAGATGAGATTTCGTTTGATAATAACGAAAGTACTGCGCATGCTCACAATTATACTGATTCGTCTCTAGTGTCCTACGGTCAAATGTATTTTGGTGCGCGAAGATCCCTGGATGAGATTCTGGCAGCCAAAGGACTATCAGTTTTGGAAAACTGCATTTAGGGCTACCACAGCCGGACAGAGGGCAGAAAAAGATAGCATTCTCACTGCTTTCGTTAAATTGTTATTGTTAACCATGTTTTAAAGAAAACGGTTTACGGATTCAGTACTCTGTACGGTATACTACAACATTAAAATGGCTTCTCCATTTCTTCAGTAATATATCCGGTCCAATCGCAACGCTTCCGGCTACGGCTACGGCTACGCAAGATACGGTACAGTTATACAGTTATACAGTTGTAGTAGGGTCTACGAATTTGCCGTTTCGTTTCCCCCTCATGCACGCGAAAACCGTTGTATTTTCTAGTAGAATTGGATAAAGAGGACGAAAACAATGAGCTGTAGTTAAATATTAATTGACAGCGAGGATACTGCAGACAATAGAAAGCAAGTTTTCATTACTTCCATTCGAGTTTTTTCATTTGAGGTTTTGTGGTTTGTAAATTTGAAATTTTTTTCGGGCAAGTTACTGCCTAGTAATTTTTCCCTGCTATGCACAACATGAAAGAAACTCAAAAATAAAAACCTTATAAAAAATATATATCGGCATCGTGTCAGCGCGTACTCTATATTTAGAATTTTAGCGGGAATATAGTTCACCCCTGTTGCCAGGTAACCAGTATATTGTAAGGTGTCAATGAAAACAAAATGGCGACAAACAAGAAGATTGTGAGCTTTATATAACTTGTCAACATTTCTCCCATTTATTGACGTATACATCCAATTATTTGATTAAATTAAAAACTGGAATAGTTAAAATAAAGAACGAAGGTAAAAGGACGTTTTTTTAGGTAAGTGTAGTTTATTTTTGAAGCATTTGTTTGGGAAATGTTTTCCGCTTTTTGTTTGATTTGGTCGTCTTTATGAGATAAGAGGCTCAAAACCCTAAGATTAAAACAGTAGTATCTTAAGTTCTTATACTTAATTATGTCGTATTTTGATTCACCTGTAAGAGAACAACTTAACATTCTCTGTGAGCATTTTTTTTTAGACGAAAAACCATTCTATTTGTAAGAAAAACTGAAGCCATTGTGCAGGAAAGCTTTGAATAAAAGCCTCAGAATAAAAATATAGCGAACTTCAACCGAGTGTTGTGTAAACATTTGACGTGCTTGAGGGTTAATTCATGTTTAATTATATATTTTATTTGCTTACAGGAAATTAAGGTTGACTGAGAACTCCAAGTTCATTGTAGAATTTTTGCCCTTTTCGTACAAATCCAAACCATGGCTTCTTTTGCATTCTCTAATGGCTTATCAATTCACTCTCAAGCGATATCGTCTTCTCCTCTCCTCCAAGGCGGAGATTCATTAAACCTCACGGTGAATATCTCCTACAGCTCACAGGAAAATTTTACATCGAACTCGACAGCTTGCAGAAGACTTCCAGGAAAACAACTAGACGTCCAGGGAATTATTATACTACCTCTATTTTTAAAATTATTATCATCAATAAACAGATCTAAAGAAATAACCTCAGATCTTTCAAACTGTTCATTTATTCCAACATTGGATATTTCAATGATAAATTATGCGAACGCTTCAAATTCATTTTTCAACATTTCTTCATCTAATGTCAGCTGGACTTTGCAGTTATTTTTTTCCATTAATGTAACCTCRGACATCCCTCCTGATTCATGGATTAATATTACGACTAAGTTACTGATTGCTGGTGAATATACAAATTTGACGCTTGCAAGGTTCAAGTCCATTCCAATAAGTGATTTCTTTGTTACGTCGAACGGAACATCACTACCAGAGACGCCCCTTAATGAACTAACACTAGATGAAACTGTTAATTATGGAATTACCATGATTATTCCAAGTATAACTACAGAGCTAATATTAACGATGGTGCTGCCTACATTGGGAGGCCAAACACCAATGAAGTGGTCGCATACTATTGTTACAAGTATTGCCCCTGGATTAACAACTGAAAGGTTGAACGTTGGATCTGCTGGTCAACTTTATGTCGGCGAAGCTTATAGAAGTAGTTTTCCATTTATTACAAATGTCGCAAAACTTAATTTTGGGAAGACTTCTAATATTAAATCATATCAAAATAACAGTGTCAGCATTGGCATTGATGTTGAAGCAAAAGTACTGCAGAGTGAACGGTTTATACCAGGAAATGATGGTAACATTACCTTTGAGCTTGCTTACCAGACACTTAATGGAATGCGTCATATTGGGCCAATTTATAATTCGCTAAATCTCAGTCAACCTCCCCTGTCGTGTGTGTTAGAAGTGGTTGGTGGTCCACCGCATTACCAAGGCAATGATTTAGTAAAATATAATTTCAGGATTGAAAACCCACAGTTTTCCACTGAATCAGCTGAAAATATTACTGTTGCTTTTACTGTACAAGAGGATGTGGTTATTCAAGATTTTTCAGCAAATATTTGCAGTGAATTTCACTGCAGTCCTTTACGTCTGAGCAATTTCAACTCATCAGTTAAAAATTCTGCAATCAGTAGGTAAGCTGATCTTAGGAGTTGTTCTTTTATTATTGAGGGGGGGGGGGTGCATAATTTGCTTGTTAATGCATACCAGAAATCTGTCCCTCCCTGTCCATTATAATATAAAGAATGGCCTCTCCCTTTTTTCCAATCTATTTATCAAAAAAATGTTATTCAACTCAGATATTTTGTTGTGCCCCCCTCTTTTGTTTATCTATTTTAGGACACGGCTTTCTTACAGATCAAATTGTAATTTAGCAAGGAGAATATCCTGATTTTTTAATGACCCCCCCCCCCTTAAATCCCACCACACCCTTACCCACTTCCTATGATTATTCATATTAATATATTATTGAAAAAAGACACATTTTTATTAATGATTTTTTTTGTAAAGCAAGTGCACTGAGGCTTGATTGAGAAGTAATCATTTATTTATTATTATTCTATTCTTTATTTTTCATCAGCACACTCATTGTGTATTATTTTTCAGACTAAATGTAAGCTCGTCAATCCATGGTAATCTGACATTATTGCTGCGGCCATCAGTTATTGTCGGTAGTAATGTACAATCTGATTTGACACTGTCATATACACGCCCATCTTGGATCAGCCCTGCTCTAAAAACCATGACCATTTATATACCCATTCGCCAAGTGCATTTCTCTGGCCCATACAACATCAACAGCTCAGTATTGAGTCCTAACGACAACCAAGTTATCATCCCAGGAGAAGATGTTACATATCAGTTGAAGATGATGATGCCAGTGTCGAGGAGTTCTAAGCTTGTTATTGTATTCAGAGGTGAAGGCACTGAATCTATAGGTGGACACATTATTGGTGTTGGAGTAAATATCCAGTCAGATAGTAATCAACCTTTGCCAGGAATGGGTAAGTGGCACACATTAAAACCTCTATATTTTTTGAACCCTAAAAAAACCTCTAAAGGCCGGTTTAGACGGTATGATTTTCGCCTACAACTATCGTATACAACAYGCTCGTGCCATCCTACAACTCGAGTCGTAGCGTGTAAATCAAGCCTACAACTCACCTACAACAGACRTGAGCGTGTTGTATACAATAGTAGTAGGCAAAAATTGTACCGTCTAAACCAGCCTCGAGCTAATCAAAGTCAGGGCATGGCTAACTCACAGACCTAACCCTGAAACACCTCTAAGCTGATCTTAGTCAGAGCACTGCTAATGCTAGTTCAACCTCTAGGTTTATTTATGTCAGAACTTGGCTATCTCACAGATCAAATAGTAATTTAGCACTGGGAGAATATCCTGAGAGCTCAGAAAAAACTTTTGAATCAAGGGAAAGACCTAATGAACTTTGCTCACACATGAACTGAGTTTGGGAATCGAATCAGAATCCCTCTAATATTATAAGTTGAGACATAGGTGCATTGGCCACCCCGATTACAGGATATAGATATTTTGTGATATTTTAAGTGCCATCAGAAGGTTTACTACCAACTGAGCTTTTCTTCTCCAAATTTCATATTGAACTGCTCGAGAAGCTAGCCAGACTAAGTTGCAAAGCCTGCTGCCCTCTGCATATATCTATTGGCATGGAACACACATCTCTTGACTTTTTTACCATGCTCTACAAATTATTGTTTCCTTCGAGTAAAAACTCCTCAGAAGATAAAATAGGTTGACTAATAGGGCTACTCTTCTAGATGGGCTAATCTAAAACTTACTAAAAAGGATATCCATCCCTTTTTTCAGCTTTAAATATCACCCAATCTAGTGAAGGATTGCCCATTAATGTCACAAGTCCAATTGCAATGGGTGTTTTTCATGGTTTGTCTAATAATGGTAGCTCTAGTCTTCCTGGTAGTGCAGAAATATCCTTCCAAACCACTGTCCGTGCTTTCGATGCATTAAAACTTGATGGAAAAGAGTTTGTTTCCTTGATGGCTGAAGCATATGTCAATAGTGAGCCTATGCCACAGAGATTCACCTTTAAGTTAAAGGTAAGATTTATTTTGTTCTTGGGGGAAGGAGAGGTGGATGAAGTGAGGGTGAGAGGGAGAGTGAGAGGTAGAATGAAATGGAGGGAGGGTAAAAGGGAGTGTAAGAGGGAGGGTGAGTAGGGATGAAGGGTGAGACAGATGGAGGGTGAGAGAGATGGAGGGTGAGAGAGAGGAAGGAAGGACAGAGAGAGATGGAGGGTGAGAGAGAGGAAGGAGTGTAGGGTCAGAGGGTTGGAGGAATAGAGGGAGGATGAGAGTGAGAGAAGGTTGAAGTGGAGTTCCGACTCCATGCAGCATCTGGAATCCATGTCTTGTTGTTAGTATCAGATTCTCTTTGACAGTTTCATAACTGGTATACCTAGACCCCCAATAAGGACCCATATTAATAGGGTAGCTGTATTAAGTGAGTTTATTTGAGGGTAAATACATATTGCTGGTATAGAAAGTATTARGCATAACAATGGTGTGTGTGTCCATTATACGTGAGTGTCTGAGGTCTGACGGTTGTCAGTATTAGGCTTTTATTAGGCTTTTATTAAAAATATAGAATTACTAACTTTCAGATCATCAAGCCTGAGCTACAAGTGCATTCTTCTATCACGCCAACCAATCAAGTGAAGCCACAACAAGTCCTCTCTTTCTCTGTCACCCTTTCACACACCCAAGCCTCCACATCTCATGCTTATGGAGTATTGCTTGAGATAGCAGTACCTCACCAGTATCTTACCCTTAATGTTGGGTCTATCCAGCCCCAGGGAGCAGCTATACGGGTTGTTAATGGCCACCAAGCACCTAGTCGATCTAGCAGGTACCACAAATCTTGTACATTAAGATCATGACACTAAAAGCAAGCTTGGGCTCCCTTTGGATTATTGTGAGGTCATGTAAACAAAGCTGATTGGTCTGTACAATGTAGAACTGAACAAATACTACTGATAAATTTGATAGAACATAATAATTATTTTATATGACGCACTTCACCATCAGCGACCAGCGACCAATGGTGACTCCAGAACCATTTCAGGGAGGTGGCTGTTACCTAGAAAGGCATCATGTAGCATCCTTTTTAGGTTTTACCTATATCATTTATCCTTATCAACTCCAAAGCAGGGTGGTTAGTGACCCAAACCATCCCAACTGAAAGCAGTAGTCACCCATTGAAACTGCCATTGACAAATCTCTCATGGTCATGGCATGGGTTTCTTTATGTACCATTTGTAATGTTTTTCCGTGTTTGTTCTGTAGGTACAACGACTCTCTCACCAAGGTTCTAGTGTATCAAGTTGACACATTTCCTCTACCCACCCCTCCCTCCAAGAACTTCACCATGACATACGCAGCATCAACTGTCAGTAATCTTCCTTCTAGTATATTCATCCAATCACCAATGTTCCTGAGCTATACTATATTACCCAACAAGGTTGTTCCACACAATGGAGGGCTGTACAATACAAGCTTTTATGGGGTAAATATTACAAAGATATGATGTAAATACTCATTATTAATTTATCAATAGGCTGATATACATTAAATGGAATTTGGGCATTCATCGACCTTATTGATGACGTCATTTTTTGACCGCTTAGTTGTTGACGTCATTTAATGTGTTCATGTCCAGTGATGTCATTCAAAAAGAGACGTCATTTCTCGCCGTCATTTGATGCCTTCAGGTCCAATGATGTCATTCAAAATGAGGTCATTTCTCACTGCAATAAGCAACTTCATTATGACATCATCTGTGACTATATTGTTGACTTGACATCATTTGTGATCTTCATGTCCAGTGATGTCATTCAAAATGACATCATTTCTCACTGCAATAAGCGACCTCATTATGTCATCATCTGTGACCGCTATATTGTTAACGTGAAGTCATTTGATGTCTCCATGTAAATTGGTTTCATTCAAAAAGGGACGTCATTTATCATACAATAACCGACCTCATTAATGACATCMTTTCAGACACTTCGTTGTATTTGTTCTGCATGACTTATGACATTCCTTCTCTGCTTGATTTAGGCCAAGTTTTACACCTTTCGTCCCCCGCCATACGTACAAGCGATCTACACATCATCACCAAGGGTTCTGGATGCTGGAGACAAAGTTGCATTTGATCTCACAGTCAAGCACAATGGCAATGCTAGTGACACTCCCCCAGCCTATAACCTCCAAATGACTCTGAAATTCCCTTCACTGGACAACACAAACGTATCTGTAAACTGCAACAAAGGGTCTCCCTCCCTTAACCTATTGACTAGCTCAGGTTTATTAGTCATTGGTGATTTGCTTTATGGCCAGTCCTTCTATTGTAACATCACAGGGAGGGTCGTTGCGCAAGTGAGTCCCAATCAAGACATCAGCCCTGTAATCCAATACACATACTACCCTACCACTACACCAAGACTTGCTCAGTCTATCCACTATCACACCTTGATCAGAGCGCACACTCTTATTGCCGCCATAAATACGACTGTCACAGCCAGTCCAAATGCGCAAAGGCTATTGGCAGGAGAAGATTTGGACTTCAGTCTTCGATTACTGATTCCTGAATGCGTGACGCAGTTAGCACTTACAGTTACCATGCCAACGCTGTCACTTGTGGGAACTGGCTTCGAGCGGCAAAGACGAAGTATTTTAATCCATGACAAAACGAAACAAATAAGGTTTGTTGACATGGTAGTTTAATATGTCTATCAGTATTTTAATCATAAGCGTGCGCTTTATTGGTTTATCCCAGGGGAACCACATACAGCTCCGTACGTACGGTTTCACAGACTGGTAATTTTATAGACCCCTTGCAGCATGCCGGAATGCAGCGTTTGGAAGACATAACGATGGGTTTGCAATTCTCAGGAGATTTTGTTTGTTTTGTCCTCCAAGTTGAGCAGCTTTGACGTCACATGCAAGGGTTCTATAGCTAATCAACAGCCTTACCTCAATGGAATAGACCATCTTTAGCATGGGCGTAAAGTTTTCTTTTTTCAGATCACATGTCATTCTCTTGAGAATAAGATTGTTTGAGTTGTATCCATATTCATGTATCTTCTCACACACAATCGTTAAACAAAGAAATGATACACAAAGGAATGGCAAGTGGTCTTAAATGGGAAAGCATTCTACAATACAAACAACTTCAACAATACACAAGGGCGGATCCAGGGTTTTTTTGAAGGGGGGTCTCAGGGGTAAATTTTGTAGGCAAAGGAATCCCAGTCGCATTTTTACCACAAGAAGCCCATTTGACCTCAGGAATGACAGGGGGGTCGCGACCCCCCCGACCCTCCCCCTGGATCCGCCCTTGATACAAACAACTTTAAAATTCAACGGACCATCACTGGAACACATGAATATTCTACTCAAAAACGAGGCTAACCCTAAGCAACAGAAAAATCAAAACTGGAGTACTACTTTTGAATACGATACACCAAAAACTGTATCATTTATTGAGTATCTTGTCTTTCTCTTACAGTGGCCGCGTTCGTCGAAGTGTAAACGCAGTTGACGTTGTTCGACCATTACTAAACGAAAGCTCAACATCTACTGACGTCAACAGCAATCTAACCATGACCAGCCCTTCCCCTAACATCACCCGACCCAACACCACTACCCTAAAGATTGATTTTGGCTCTGTGCAAAAAGCCCCAACCCCACTCCAGTCGTTTGAGGGAATAACCATATACCTGAAGTTCAGGAGTGCTTACCTACCTTTGGTGCTTAGTGGGCGTGACTTTGTGTTGACTGCTCTACTTAACTACACTGGAGGAGAGTTGAATTTGCCCGTTCCCTTCACGATCATTGGTCCGTTGGTGAAGCCTTTGCTTGTTATTACTAAATCAGTACAGGTAAGAACGTTGGGAGCCCTGTGATATTTTTATCTAACACTTTAATTGAAATTGGGTTCCCTGTGGTAAGAGCTTAAGGGGCCATTTTGTATCGGGGAGGAGGGAAGGGCGACGGGATTCTCTTGGTAACCCATATTAAAAACCTGACACCCCCGCTTTCTGTTGTTGCATAAACATGGCCCCTTCCTTGTTTTCAATACTTGTTATTTTAAAATTGCTGTTAAACTCGATTTCCGTTTGTATGGTTCCCCCTCTTGACCCCGATTCTTGTATTGACCCCCGGAGAACCCAACACTTTGTCGAAATGGACAAATAAGGTGCTGGAATACCGAAGCTAGACCAGAATGCAATACGGTCAGCACTATCTCAGGAAGGTGACTGCGACGAACCCAGTGATATTCTTCATTTACATTGGACAAGAGTCACACAAGTTCGATTAAGTTTCACAGTTATTAATAGTTCATTGTCACGCAAGTTAGTATCATACATTATCTTCATCACTCAGTTATATACATATACAACTAATTGAAGGGTAATTAGTAAACACCACTAGTTATGGTCTTCATTCCTTGGCTTATCAGGGTAGTAAGTTATGGAATTCTCTTCCAAACAACATGAGATTGTTGCACGAATTAAGTAAATTTAAATCGGAAATTTCCAAAGTCAAATTTGATATTGACTGTTGTACCTTTTGTAGAGGATAATTCTATTTTAATTTATTTTACATATATACATATATTTATTTCATTGTTTACATCCATATTTTTATATTAGCATCATGTAATTTTAATTTTTAGTTTAGGTTATTTATAACTTGGAGATATTAGCATGTACTTGCTATCTTGTAATTCAAGTATAAATAAAGTTATTGTATTGTATTGTATTGTAATTGAAAAAACGTAGCCGGGTTCGAGGGCCTGTCATATCGAAGCTGAGACTGAAAAGGAGTTTGGGTACTCCGAAATGTGCATTTTATTTGCATATAGACATGTAAAAATGCACAGTAGAGCAAAGTCGGTCGACCTAGATTAACAACATGCCAAAGCCATGATGCATAAAATGTGCACGGGAAGGGAAAACTGCAATACGCATGAAATTAGCATAATTGTTTGTCTTCCATGCTCCCCTTCGGCCTTAGCTTTGATGATATAACCTATTTTGAACTCGATTAGGTGTATACACCGATTACCCGATCAATTAGGTGTATACACTTATTTCAATAAATAGTCACCAAAAACCTAGAAAGCTGAGATTACTGAGCATCATGGGAAACTTTTCATATCAAAAAAGCATATATATACAAAGCTTTTTTAATACAAACTGCAGCTCGATGATGCTCAAAAGAAGTGAGACTGTAACCGGTAAAAAATTCGCAAGTCCATGAACAGTTATCAAGCGGTTGAACGTGAAAAATGAATCTACCCATAATCCTTGTCGGCCTCAGCTTTATAGCTTTTCAGTTGACTAACTTTATTGAAATAAGTGTATATATTGATTTTTTCAGGTGAACGACAGTGAGCGTGACTCACCATTGCTATTCTACAACGTGACAGTCACGCATAGCCAGTATTCCCAGTTTGACGCTCACGACCTCGTTATTCAAGATAACACCAAAAACATGAACATACAACGGTCCTCTGTGCTTCCTATAAACAACGTATTTGTGTCCTACCCTGATGTCCACACTTACAACATCAGGCTTGTCATTTCTAAACTTGCAGGTATAATGAGAACACGAATTCCTCTTAGTACTGTATGTGGTACGTCTAGAGCTTTCCTTTCCCCCACAGAAGCAAGGGTGGCTTAGTTGGTTCGCTCCAGCAAAAAAAAAAATTATAGAAAAAATCTGTTTAAATAAAGGTTCACAGTCACTCACATCTTTGTAGCTTAAAGTTTAGGTACTCAACATACCCCTTCCATGGAGGGAGAGGGAGAGGGAGGGGGGGGGCACGCCTTCAATCCGATTTAGCGCACAACAGTGAAGTGGCTCAACATGACTTTTCTCTTCTTCTTTATTTGTAGTGGGGGAAAGTGTGAGTCTTTCGTACAAAGCAAGTTTCTTGATCAAGGAAAAGGTACGAAAAACAGCTACTATTAATTCGACTAACTTAAAGAGTACGAATACACAAGGAAATGACAAGATATTTCATTAAAATCCTTTAAAAAAGAAATGGCGTTTCATTCTTCAACACAGCTGTTATTGAATGGCTTGTGTTTCCTCGCCTTTTGATTTAAATATGTTGCGCATGCACAATAATGTGACTCTTAAATGGCTTCCGTATTCATGTGTTGTGATTGGCCAGCGAGCACTTCCATTCTTTTGATTGGTTTAGAGTGTACATCATTAGACAGCACAATGTAGCCGACTCAAACAAAATCTCTTTCATTTACCTATCTTTATTATATCCCTCTTTAAAACAACAGCGTCAAATATCTTTGTTTTTTTTAGGACGAAAAACAGACAAATTTGCCTGCCACTGTGACATGGAAGAGTATACAGGTATCGTATCTCAAGAGCGCATGGTTGTGCGCATATTCTTAATCCATCAAGTCATCCCTCTTTCTGATCGTCGTATTATAACATTGTCTCCCAACAGATCAACAGTCCTATCTATTCTGTGAGCAGTAACCTGACGGCTTGTGTTAGCAGATTTGATACAAATCGATGGAAGGTAGGCGCACAATAAGATATGCTTGCTTTACTGTCTTGAGAAATGCAATCATCAATAGACACCTAGATAAGATTATCATTCACCAATGCAGGCCAACTGGGAGGACTTCACACTTGATCTCAGAGCGCACTTTCAGTTTTCATTCTGACAAAATGCCTGCCAATTGATCGAGCATGCGCAATAAAAATGACAGAGCTCAGGACTTGGCAATCTCATACCCAGAGCCTGTGAGCATTTTTTTCTTTATTAGTCCAAGACAGTGCACGCTACCCATTTTTTGAAACTTCCAAGCCATTTTTAAAAAATTCTTTAGTAAGCGCAACAATGATTGTCAACTCTTGCGACTTTTGAATAAGATGCTTACAGGAACTTTATAATTCTTAGATGCGTTTAAAGTCCATAAAAAAGTTTAAGAAGTTGTATATCGAACCGAAGACCTTTACACTGGAAAATGTTGAGCAACAAGAAATCGTTTTCTGATTGGCTAATTCGCTTATGCTGAACTAGTCACAAGACTTATGTTATGTTGCCACGTGCAACGGTACAAGCATTCATAATCATACAGATCGTAAAACTAGTACTTTTGTGAGGTTTTACGGTTTTTACATGAGTTTTAAACAGTGTAACGGATTTTTTTAGCTGTTCTTGTGACAGAACATCAACATGAACATTGGATAATGTAAGTGTTTTAATTGTTTTCATCCTTTAGACTAAAGAAGTAACCGGTTTCTTTGCTCTTGGTGTCTTGCTTGGCTTACTGCTTGGTATCATTTTGGCTATTATTATCATCGTCCTGATCATCAAGTGTTGTGACAAAGGAAAAATTGCTTCTTGTTACTCGGTAAGTACTGTATTCTCTGGACAGCTATCCTTACTCCTTTGGAGCAACTGCATCATGCACTGGGGCTTAACATTGATAGGTGCATAATGCCCTGCAAATCATGATGGCAGTAGTTTGAACTCTTTGTAGAACGAGCCATACGACAATAGAAGTCATGGTTATTGAATATATGCAACTTCATCATATTCTAAAATGATATGCAGTTGTTGGAACTCTTTGTAGAACGAGCCATACGACAATAGAAGTCATGGTTATTGAATATAAGCAACTGCATCATACTCTCAAATGATGATAGGCAGTAGTTTGACCTCTTTGTAGAACGAGCCATACATCAATAGAAGTCATGGTTATTGAATATATGCAACTTCATCATATTCTAAAATGATATGCAGTTGTTGGAACTCTTTGTAGAACGAGCCATACGACAATAGAAGTCATGGTTATTGAATATATGCAACTTCATCATATTCTCAAATGATATGCAGTTGTTGGAACTCTTTGTAGAACGAGCCATACATCAATAGAAGTTATTATCATTAAATATCAGTGTGCATATGATTTGTGGGGTACTCTGTAGCTAACCCCCCCTCCCTCTCCCTCTCTCTCACTCTCACTCTCTCTCTTAAAGTTTTTGTTTTTTGTTAGTAGAAACACTCGTGATTTTCTTCCTTTTTTCCCACTTTTCCCTTTCTTGATCTCCTCTACTTCTTCTCTGTTCGCTGAAAACTTTATTTACTTCTTTATGACAGGGTTTTACTTATAAAGACAGCATTACCATATTCCATGTTGCATGGTTTTTCATTCTCTTTGCCCCACCAATCCCTCTTCATTTCTTCTAATTCTTCCACCTTATAATTCTCATTTATTTGTTGTTATATCCTGTCAGCGTTTTACTAATAAGGACAGCATGACCGTACTCACGGGTGGTGCAAAGTATGTCTTAAGTGGAGAGGACGACCCCCCTGATAAGAAACTTGTGGCCAGGCACAACGAACCTAGGTATGAATAAACCAGATCCTACAATGATATATTCTTGAGATACAACACTTGTGGATTAGCTTGCTGCCACCTTCATGTAGGGAGTTAACGGAGGCACACGCCTTAAAATCGTCAAAATATTTTTTATGAAAGTAATACAAAGCGGGTGTATATGTCTCTGTACTGTGATATAAACACTCTGGGCTGCTAATATAATACAATTAAGAGGGTCCTGAAGGGGGGGTCCTGAAGGGGGGAGTCCTTATCCCATTTCCCAGCCCCCATTTTGACCAAATACCATACTCCCAGCCTGTGTTTTGCAAAAATCCATTCCCATCTTTTGATTGTTTTTTTTTTTATTTGTTTGTTTTTTTGTTTTTTGTTTTTTGTTCTTGTTTTTTTGTTTTTTTTTTGTTTTTTGTTTTGTTTGTGTATCCCTTTCCTGCCAGTGCATAACATTCCATTTTCCCAGCCAAAAAGGCGAATCCCAGCTGCTATTTTTACCCCTCAATTAAAAAGGTGTTGCCTGATGTCTGTACTTGTCATTTGTCGACCAGCATCGTCAAGACAGACGAGAGTATCGTTCCCATTCTGAGTCTAGACAAGTCCTCACAAACAGACAAAGAGCTTGACAGGTAAGCTTGCTTGGAATTGAAAAGGAAAAAACAAATTAAATTGGTCAAGTAAGACTCAATTTTTTTTGTTAAAGAAAGGCTTTAATTTTTCTATCATTTCCATTTTGCAATCTCCTCCACGGTCCCTGAAAGCCACCATTTTGTTGCCACGAATAGCACCCCCCCTTCCCCCATGCCTACGTCTCCAAATAGATGCTTATCTATACATTACCCATTAACCATTATTTATACAGCCTTGATTTGCAAGCCACTGCTGACCTAGAGGTAGAAATAGAAATCCAGCGACACAACATGTTTGTTGATGCGCTGTCACTGCTAGTAAAAAAACTGCGCGTCAAGAGACACATATCATCCAGCCAAGAGAAGAAGGTGCGTAGGACAAATTGAATAAAATATGCGAATATATATTGAATTAGCACCTCTTTTCACCGCCCTGCAGTCAATCTTTGCCAAGAATTTTAGGGATCTCTTCTTGTGAAAGCAGCGCTTCGCTTTAGTCTTTATTGTTCTGTAATCGTTGTTGCAGGCGTTGTTGTTTTTATTATTGCAGGCGTTTTTTTTGTTGTTGTTGCAGCTACTGCTGCTATTTTGTTGCTGTTAATTTTTTTCAGTTGTCGCTGCTGCCGATGTTAGTTCAGATGTTGTTGAGGTTATTATTGTTGTTGTAGTTGGCGTTGGTACTGTTGTCCTTATTGTTTATTTTTCCCGCCAAAAGACGATGGAAAAACCTTTGCCACCTTTGAAAAACAAACCTTGCTTCAGTTGTTGTTGCTGTTAATGCTGTTGTGGTTGCTACTGGTGTTTCGTTACTGCTCTCGTTCAATTGTTGTTGCAGTTCGACAGTTGTTGCTGTTGCTGTTGTTGTTGCTGCTGCTGTTGCGGTTTGACAGTTGTTGCTGTTGCTGCTGTTGTTGCTGCTGTTGTTGCGGTTTGACAGTTGTTGCTGTTGCTGCTGTTGTTGCTGCTGTTGCGGTTCGACAGTTGTTGTTGCTGCTGTTGTTGCTGCTGTTGTTG